CCGGCTCCGCAACACCTGGTTGCAATAAGAATAAACTGATTGCCAGGAGCAAAATGCTCCAAGGCAAACTCACGATCTAATGGGTCCATGCCACTATACAAAACGGCAATACGCTTCTGGTAACCACAGGCAGAAAGACGCGCAAAGAGTTCGTCACACTCTTCCTTGCGTTGGGCAAATATGATAATGAGATGCTGTCCAGTACCACCCTCATCACTGAGAATTTGCAGCAGTTTTAAAAACTTTTTATCTTCTGTGCGATTCGCCTCCTCCACTTCATACACTTCTTCATCAAAAAAGAAAAAGCGCTGCTCGACATTCGAGGCGGGAGTAGGTTTGCCCCCCACTGTAACCTCCACAGGATCTTGCATATGACGCATGATGACTTTCTTCAGTTCTTTTGGCATGGTTGCACTAATGAGCGCCAATTGTCTGTCAGGACGAATATTTTTTAAAAAGGCCTCCACGTGTTCCATGAAGCCACTGTCAAACATGCGGTCTGCCTCATCAATCACGACAAAAGATGTGCGCCGCAACGAAATGACGGCTCCACCATTCACGGTGAGAAGATCCAAAAGTCGACCTGGGGTGCACACCATGACTTCACATCCTGCTCTGCAGTGTCTGATGTTGTCTGCAAGCGGTGTTAGGCCGTACGAGGAAACAAATCTCAGCTTGGCTGCCACACACAGCTTTTCTGCCAGTTGGGCAATTTGCGCAGCCAGTTCACGTGTGGGAACAAAAATAAGGCCAATAGGCCCTTCACCCTTTCTACATGGTTCTTGCCCAACACAATGACGAATAAGCGGCAGGAGATAGGCGAGTGTCTTTCCAGAACCTGTTTTGGCTGTAATAAGGAGGTCGCGACCGCTCATCAACGCTGGAGAACCAAGAGACTGCACGGCAAATGGTTGTTCAAACCCTTCACGCGCTAGCAAATCAAGAACTGAATCTGGTAGACCTGAACCGTTCCAAGTACGCATGGGTCGAGGTGGATCGCGTCCACGCAATTTTGCTCCATCCAGCTCCGCTATGAGCCGCTTTAACTCATCCGCATCGAGGTCCTTGACGTCTGGAGGGGCAACGTAAAACTCCTTTCGAATATGCGGATATTGTATGGTGCTGTGGTCTACATATTGCAACTTACGCAGCCGTTTCACATCCTCAGGGGGAGGAGGCGGTAGTTTGGCCGACACAATTTCTGCCATAAGATCGTGCGACTCATCTGTTGCACTCACAACCGTGAGCGCAGTTGACATGACGGGCTTCAGCAACTCCTCCTTAAGATGCTGCAGCGCATGCGCGGGTGTTACACCGGCGACGGTTGAGTCTACAGTACCAACTCGCTTTGCAGCGCAGGTGAGTTGAACGTGGGCAAATAGTCTCTCCCGAAAGTCCTCAATGTCGCCATCCTTTTCGCCCGTATCAGCCTCAACTTCGCTTGGTGTGGACGCGGCAGCTCCAAAGGGATCATCGCCGGAGTCCTCATCGCTCAGCACAACATTTTCATCCACACGAAGGGTACTATTCAGAATACTATTTTTATGATGATTGCCTTTTATTTCCCCACTGTTGCCCGTGTGATGCTGCCGGGCATTTTCATCATCATCGTAGGAGTCACTGCTATTCCAGGCCCCACGGCGTTGCTCCAGCAACGATATCTCCTCGTCCCGCGTCTCAAGCAGAGCTTTGTGCTCCGCGAGTTTTTCCCATGTGGCAGCGGCTGACTCCGGCTTATCGTTGTTGCTTTCACTATCCTTATTTTTACAACGTGGGTGTTTCCGCTTTCCCCGTGTGTCATTCCTATAATCGCTGGAGGAAGAGAAAAGCGAATCTGAGGAGCTTTTGCTGCTCCCGCTGCTCTCCCTCTCACGCTTACGCATAACCCTCCTCCTCCCCCGCCTCTCGTTCGTTCGTTTTCCCAAAAGAATAAAATCACCTCAACCCCCACACTTTCTTTCCTTCTCTCTCCCTCTCTTTATTTATTTATTTATTGTACGGTTTCGTGTGGATAAGTAAACAGATGCACACATAAATACACACACAACCACACACATACACGCAGGTGCCGCAGAGAACAGAACGCCACGAACACACGCACGCACAAGAAAAGCAGAGGAACACAACACAAGGGAGAAAAGAAACAGGAGCAGCATTTGTGGAAAAGAAAAGAGGCATTCACATCACACAACGGATGTAACGTCAACAGAAACAACACAACGCTTAGTATCAACCGACCAAAAAAGTGACCAAAAGAAACACGCAAACAGAATGAAAACAAAAAAAAAAAAGAAGATCTACCGTTTACAATGGTCCCAATTACATAATCTCCAAAAGTTGCTTTCGCGCGGCAGTGTGCACTTTGTGATCCATACGAAATAACTTATGATCACCGTTCATGGGCAATGGAAAAGGCAGCGCCTTGGCTTCCGCACAGATGAACGTAAACGGTGAGTCTACTTGTATTTCTTCTTCAGTGAACATCTCACGGTACGTGTCACGGTCCAGACACTCCACCAGGTAAACATATCCCAGCAACACGCGTGTAGGATAATGTTTTGGAAATTGTTGAGTCGGTTTCATAAACTTTGAGTAGAGTTCCTCTACTTCTTTAATATCGTGTGGCTGTGTCGAGGCTGCGTGGATCCAAAGACGACCCCTATAATCTGTATGCCACACACGTCCCTCGTGGAACTTGATGCCACTCACAAGTAGCCCTGCCCATGGCTGATGCATTGATAGGCAGATACCGTCATCATTTATGCGCATCGTGAGTGAAGGTGTAAAACGGGTGGACACACCAGTTGAAATGTCTGCCACCACGGCAGTCTCCCCTGTTGGCGCCACATTCGTCTCGTCTATGGTTGATTCCTCCGCATCCGCACCGTCATGCGCCGCATCAAGACCATCCGATTCAACCTGAGAATGCTCCTCCTGTCGTTCTTTCTGCGCCTCCAGAAATAAATGCGCGTCGTCTTCGTAGTAATTGACCTGAACGCGACGCGACAGTTCTACCACACGACGTCCTGTGGGTTTTTTCACCGGTGACTCCTCTCTGTTTGTGACGCCGGTGCTACTCGCTGTGGAGGGTTTCTCAACACTGCCATCCAGACTATACCATATTTTTTGCATGAGAGAGGGGAGTGGTAATGCCCGTGCTTCCTCAACGTTGTATTCGCCGTCGTCTCCTTCTTCAGCGCAACAGCTAACAGACGACTCAGAGGAGGCAAGACTATTCGACTCCACCGCTGGACCTTCTGGGCAGCCGAGTGATACGTTTTGGTTCATGATATCCAAATGAACCCTATACGCCCCCTTGGCGCGGTGCATTGCGGCCACTTTGCGACGCCGTTCTGCAAGCGCTTCGTCCTCATCTGCCTTTTGGCGTTCCTTTGGTGACATCCACGCATTCTTCGGTGATAAAAAGACGGCTGTCTGATCGTCAATCACCTTTGTACGTTTAGCACGTGTCTCTGCGTAGTGCAAGAGCTCATCCCGCTTCCTCACGGATGCCTCGTATTCTTCTTGATTTTTCGCTACCGCGGCTGCACCTATGAGGCCCTCCTGTACCTTGATTTCATACGTCACACACGTTGATGGGTCCAACCCACAGAAGTAACATGTCTCATTCGACTCCTGTTCACATATGATGCGTCCACAGTTGGCACAGTTCCCGCGAAAAGCGTGTGTTGTGGCAAAACAACCGCATTCAACAAATCCTGGTTTCAACGCAGCGGCGCCACTTTTATCGGCAGCTTTTGATAACAACGTGCCTTTCCGTTTCCCAGCCTTCCTCCCTGTTGCCGCCAGTTGTCGTCCCTTACCTCTATTTCCATCCGCACTCCTCCCCTCTGGGGCAGACATTGTGGGCGCAGCAGGGGTTTCATCAAAGGGAGGCCCTTGATCGACACGTCGCTTTGTCACCTCTGCCGCAACGGCCTCCCCGATCATAAGTGTCTCACACCAGTCAAACACCTCCCGCTTAGAGCCACATGTCGCCAGCATGTTCGCCATGTTGTCCAACTCCTCACCGACAAGACCAAGAAAGTTGTTGTCCTCAATCTCCTTTTTGATGTAACGGACAAGAGCCTCCTTGATCGTCTCCGCAGGGCTCATCATGGAAGGAGCATTCCATCGTTTGGGTGGCATCCGTCCTTGCAAAGCACACACTTTCACCAAAAAGCAACGTCCGAAATATATATATTACCAATAGACCAAAAAGAAAAAACAAAAAACAAACAAACGGAGAGAGACAAATAAAAGAGACAGCAGCATCAACAACAGAAGAAAAAGGATGGTAATAGTGGGGGAAAAAAATAAACACACACACACACACACAAATACACACAAGAAAGAGAAGCATCCCCCAGTCCGTCCCATATATATATTTATATACCGGATAGAGGTAGACACTTCAGAAATGAGGCCTGTTTAAGAGTTCACATGTGTTTTATGTCTCCAGAACATCAGTATTGGCAAAATACGGCAGCATAATGCCTTCGCGCCACGTTATTTTTCTCCTTACTGCAAGCAACATCTTGCCAATATCCCCGTGACAGACAAGCAGTACACATTTTCCAGCAAAGTTGGCGTCCACACGCTGTAAAACACGGGCAGCACGATCATAGCATTCGTCAAACGTTTCCGCCCCATCGACAGAAAGAAAATACAAGACCCTGTCCCCTTGTACGACATTTTCCCCGGCGTGCGTTCTGATCTGTTCCATAGGCTTTCCCGTCAGCACACCAAATTCACGCTCCACTAGTTCATTCTCCGTCTCCACATTAACAGAAAGAGCCTCACCAATGATGCGAGCGGTCTCATTCGCCCGCTGTAATGGTGATGTTAATATGATGTCATACGTCATTCCTCTCTCCTTCAATTTCTGCGATAGCGCAGTCGCCTGCTCCCGCCCCAACTGTGTGAGTGGGCGATCACGTCGACCGTTCAAAAGCCCTTCAAAATTGTCTTCGTCTTGACCATGTCTGCAGATGTGTACAACAGCCATGAACCAAAGCGGAACGATTACGACGAGGGCTCCCTTTCACTGGAATGAACGCAGAACAATTAAAAAGCAATAATAAAAGGAAAAGAAAAGAAAAGAAAAAATGAGACTCCACAATTACCCTTTTATGCACCCCTTTGGTATACATGCGGTATATGGAGTAGGATCAAGGACAAAATATCAACAGGCCTACAGACTCTGTCGCGACATCTCCTTCTCGCTCACCCATGAGGGAGAAAACCAATGGCATCTTGGGTCGTTCTATACGAGAAACGTCACGGTAAACACAAAGTTCGCTTCTCGGCGAAAACAACCCTAAAACTGTGACTCAGACCACATCCCCACAGAACGCATCACCCGGAAAAAAAATTTTCTACGGATAACGACAGGCATTCACGCAAATAACACTTCCCTCTCAGTTTTCCCTTTCCATTTTCTTCTTTATAATATATATTATAAATTCCTTCTCCTTTTTGCATTTTCATCTCCATTTTTTTCTTCTATTTTTTTTTTTTTTTTTTTGGCCCCCCTCTGTCCTTCGCTATGTTACATCTCCTTCTTGCCTCCCGCCCCACAAAAAGTGCAAGGAAAAACACAAGAGAGAAAGAAAGAAAAAAAAAAAGAAAAAACCATGAGGACATACACACACACACAGACAGAGGTCAATAATACATATATATGTTGCTGCATTTATGTAATTCATCAAAGAGGCGGCATAAAAGACTGCACGATGTTGGCGAACTGCAGAAATAATATCAACGCCGTGGGAATGTTTGTGAGGGTAGGAAGGGGGGAAAAGTCTTTTTTGTTTCTCCCGTTCCATTGTCTTTTTACACATTACGGGGGTAGGGAAACGGAGAAGGAAAAGCACGCGCATCGTCATAAACAAAAACAAAAACAAAACAAAAACACACACACACACACACAGAGAGAGAAAAAAAAAACCGGCACAAATGCATTTTAAGAATTCCGTCCTTTTCCTTTTTTCCTTCTCCTTCTCCTTCTTCTTCCTTTTTTTTTCTCCATCATCCCTCGTTTAATTTGCGAGTTCCAGAGGGAGGGGTGTAGAGAACGGTGTGCGGCCTACGGTCTTTCCATGCCCACTAGAAAAGGAAACTGCCTCCCGCCCTCCCCCCCTTCCTTCGCCTTCGCCATCGCCTGCCACTCCGACCACGAAAGAAGTACATGAAGTGCGCTCGGCTCGTGGTCGTCCAGAAGCGACTCATTCACTTCACGGGCAATTCTGCACGGGGATGCCTCCGAACACCCCGTCGCGTCCGTCCCCGTGATGGTTGCCAAGGTTTCAACATAAATTTGATGTGCCATCGCTGCATCAGACATGTCGGCAATCAGTGGACTCACCTTTTCACATAGAAAGAGTAACGCCGCTGATTGATCACCCCTTGCACGCTTCATGGCTTCCATGGCCAACAGTTTTACTATGAACACACTTCCCTGAGGAAGGGATGCGGCCGCGTCCTCGTACTGCTCATTTAGACACAATAACTGCAGACGCTTGCGCTTCTTCATGGACTCCAGTACAGTTTCAACACCTTTACAATCAACTGAATTATTATTATTAGTATTATTATTTTTATTATCATTGGAGACATGAATTATACCACTGTTTTTTCCGCTTCCATTGCTATTCTTCCTTCCATCATCATGTGACACGACATCGTTGCGTAATTCCTCTTGGTTGACAAAAATGCCTTTGCCATTACGCCGTACACGACGCCCGGTCACCTCCTTCGTTTCTGTTGTTGCCGATGCTTCCGCCATCGGTGTCGTCCCTATCCTTGTCATTGTCTGCAGTTCTCGTAGCTCCTCATTAAGTGCGGTGAGAGATTCCACAAATCCCTGTCGGATGAAATACGACTGCAGGATGGAGGCAAGAACAATTTCCTCATCGTAGCCTTTGTCACGTATCACCGCCTCCTCCACAAATTTCCAACCAACGTTCTCGTACGACCCCATTTATTCCCTCCTTGTCCTTTTTTTTTTTTTTTCCCTTCTTCTTCTTCTTCGTCCTCTCCTTCCTTCACTCACACTCTCACACCCGCTCGTTCACAGGGTAAAAACTAAACACACACACAAAAAAAAAAAAAAAAAAGAAAAAAGGAAAAACAACACACACAAAACCGACCAAACAAACTTCTCGTTGCTGTAGAATCACAGAATGGACTGTTTGTGCTCGTGTGTGTGTTGCCGCCTTGACCTACCTACCCCGTTGTGACGCGCACGGGGAGAATGCAACCTAAAACAAACCATAAGAAAAGGAAAAGAGGCATGTTACGGAAACACACACAGAATGCACTGATAGAAAAGAAAAGAAAAGAAAAGAAAGAAAAAAAAAAAAGGAGGAGGTGAATAAAAACCAAATAAGACAAAACACCGCATTCACTCCTTCAGTTTTATGTTCCCTCTTTTTGACGCATAAGTCCATAAACTGCAAGGGATAAGAGAGTTTTACACTCAGTTCACAGGGGGATACCTCTAAATTTTAATATTATTTCCGAATAATTCAAATTGCATTTTTTTTTTCCTCTTCTTTTTTTTTTTTTTTTGACATTCCTTCCTATTTCCTTTTTCCCCTCATTGCAGTTTTTTTTTTTTTTTTCCCCACTCCCTCCCAGTTCCCCCCCCCCCCCTCTATTTGAAAAAGGAAGGAGAAATCAGTTTGTTTTTTTTTCCTCTTTACTTTGGATTCATTTTCTTCATAACGAGGGGTGTATGCCCAAAGGCTCCGGCCTCCATGAGTTCTTATATACGCACATCTCCCCTCATACAGACCCATATGTATATATATATAGAGAGAGAGAGAGAGAGGAAGAGGAAGAGGAGGCAATAGACATGTGGAAGTACATAAATTACGGTTACACATGTATATGCATAGGAGTAAAGATATGTGTAAATCAGGAGCACACACACACACACACATGTGTATATGTATATATACCCCCAATGAAATTGTCAACTCCCACTGTTTCACTTCCCTCATATTCCAATGAGAGGGGCGATTAAAACGGCAAAAAGAAGACATAAGTATATATACCTTCTGGAAGTGGGAACATCAGGCCATTTCCCTCTCAACTGTATGCGTGCACGCAAAAAAAAAAGGCTGCAAGAAAAGAAAAGAAAAAGTAAAGGTTGGATTACCATTAAAGAAATAAACAGGCAAAGCAAAAAAAAAAAGGAAAAAAAAAAAAACCGCAAAATTCACATTGGCACACAGAATGGAACGCACACAAAAATAACGACATCCCATTTTTTTTCCATCCATCGTACTTTTCCTTCTACCAATCTCCTTTTCTCCCTTTCTTTCCTTCTCTCTCTCCCTCTGCCCCTGTGGGATTTTTCCTTTCGCTCTATTCTTCCATTCCCCACCCACAACGTTCTCTCCCGTTCTCACTCATCCCCCTTCAAAGCAATCGCCACACACACAGACAAAAAAAATATTTCTCACTTGCAATTTGAAAAATTTGGCTTGCACGCAATGACCACAATAATGAGAATGACGACGCCAACTGTTCCAATAATCATAAGTGTAAGTTTAATATTTTTCAGGCACATACTCCGCTTTAGTTGTGTTGATCGCTGCTTAAATTGTTCCGCCTGGTCGGCAAGTGTGTTGGATTTCTCGTGCAGCGTGTCGACACGGTCGCCGCGGGCGAGGACCTTATCCATGTTGTCCATCATGACGTCTACTACTTGATTGATGTCATCATTCAGCGCCGTGATCTTGTCGTTCTGAGGATTATTGTAGAAATCCATCTTCTGCTGCAGGAGCTTTTTGCCGTTGCGGAGCTCCGTGCCGGGGGGGCCAACGTTCCCCCGCACAAGCGGCTCGACCGCTTCCAGGAACGCAAACACCGTTCGCATACGCATTTCGTTGGTCGTCACGCATGCCACGATGCGGCCCTCGCCGTTGCTGATGTAGTGGTAATTGACACCCCCCTCCTTGTCTTCAATCGTCTTGCGGCGGTACTCCTTCCCAGGGACGGTGGCGATCACCTTCTGCATCGTCTCCGCCAGCTTCGGCTGCTCGCCAGGCGGGTACTCCGCCAGCAAGACGGTGCCGTCGTTGATGCAGCTATATTTGATTGGCATCCGTCACGACGGGTTAAAAATCAAAAACAAAAACAAAAGCAAAACAAAAAAAACTCCCTTTTTTTTCTTTTGGACCCTTCCAACACACACACACACACAAAAAAAAAAAAAGGAAGGGGAGTAAGAAGATGACATCTTAGAAAATAGGACACATGGCGCGTATCCGCAACTCCTAAAATATAATTCCACAGGTTCATCACTCTTTTCTTCCCCCGTTCTTTCCTTTGTTTTTTTTTTAAATTATAAAAGGGACTGACAGGAAGGAAGTACCGCCTTGGGCATCACTCCTTTCTCTCCCCAGTTTCATTCCGATAGAAACTATTCGCTTTTCCACACCAGGAACACACAAAAACACGTCAGATCCCATCGGCAGTTTCAACTCACGCACCCCCTCTCACAGACATGCATAAACACAAAAGGAAACAGTGTCCTTATAAATATCTCTGTAACAATTGTCGACCCGTGATGGTTTGCTCGTTTGAGCTACCAAGCGCTTCAAATATACCGAGAATGACTTGTCTTGCAGGCGTCTTTGCGTGTGGACCAAGTACAAGGTCCTGCGGCACCACCCCTGCTTCCTTTAGCGCAGGCAGTAACTTTGGCTCAGCGCGAATGAGTCGCAAACACTCTTCGATGCCCTTGTGGTGGCGTTTCTCTACAAAATGTGCCACGGCCAACTTGAGATGCTGGCGATACAACGCAGCCGGGTCGTGTGTAAGGTCATCGTATGTGAGCAGCGACACATAATTGTCCTTTTCCACGTCAAAGTCAGCAATGATCAGTAACTCAATGCGATTCACCGCCTCTGCCACATCACGCAGATCCCGTGTGGCAAAAGGAAACTCCTCGCGTACCCGCTGCACGATGCTTTGCGCCTCCGCGTTGTCTTTCGTGGCCATCGCACACATGGCAAGACCGCAAAGTGCCTGTGGACTCACGTTATAGCACCCCTCACGCTTGAGACGCCCCCACATCTCTTGTGTCACCTTCCTTTCCCTTGAAAACCCCAGCCTTTCACGCGCCACCTGCGTCTCCGCCATGGCCATATCATATGCCTTTTTGAAGAGCTCACGAGCCTTTGGGATCTCTTTATTTTTCAATCGAGTGTGAGCGACGTTCAACAACGTCATGGCATTCTCATCGTCCTCGTCGCTACGCTTCACCTTTTGAAAAACGGACGTGCCGCTCATCTCATTTTTGCTCTCCTCCACGGCGTAGTCAATAAACGCATCAATCGCCTCCTTTACCTGTGACTCGGGGACAATCCCCACCATCTTGTCAGCGTACACCTTGTTGCGGACAAAGTACACAATGGGAAACATGTGCGGGTCGACACTAAATTTTTCCGTCAATCCCACTTCCCGGAGGCAGTCGACAAGCCCTAATTTTATAGCAAGGCCTCGATCTTTGCCAAACTCCTGGTACTTGTCAGAAATGCCGCTACTTTGCAGGCGGCGATTCGCTGCATCAACCTGCACGCTGAGCCGCTCTGTATATGCCACAACATCCGGATTGTTTGGGACGTGAAAGTAAAGGAATAAAGGAACTTTTGACGACATTTCGTCGTTGATGTTTCGCGATGTGAATTGGATAACCCCCAGCCGTGCCGGGGGTGCACCTGACGGGGGTGGTGTTGTCGCCCCTGTTGAGAAAGGAAAGAACTGGGCGGCTGAAACCCCTACGGCCCCCATGTGAGCACGCCAGACGCGGTACATCCCACGGCTACTGCTCTCGTCACGCTTCTATCCAATTTTTCTTGCAGCAACGACGACGGAGGCGACGGTGGTTATTTATACACACACACACACACTCACAGAGAGAGAGAACTAAAGGAAGAAAAGAAAGAGACTTTGTGGAAATGTACATACAGAGATGCATAAATATTTCGTTTTTTTGTCCCCCCGGAATGTGTTTGCGCGCATTCCTTCTCCCTTTTTCTTTCTTCTCCGTAATAGATGTCGTCTTATATGAAGAACCGATCGTCTATGAGAGTCTTTGAACTGATGTTCGCCACGCCTTCACTCATGCGGTACCACCGTATGGATAACTCCAACGCAAATGTAATGACAAGCGCCACCCACACATTATGCATAGAGGCATCCACAGAGGCATACAACATGGTGTAAAGTACAAACAAATCAACATCTAGGCCGTACAGAAATGCATTCCCGTAGGCAAGTACATCATCCACAAAAAAAAGATCTTTACCGGACTTATCACCGGACTGAGGCCCATTCATGTACAGAATATTTGGTGCCAGATCAAACCAACGATGAAAAATAAACTTCATAAGCAGTGTTCCCTCAGCACTTCGAACACTCTGCTTTAGAACACTATTGATACGCGTTTTTATCGCTAATATCTCTGTGTTATACACACGTGACTTACGGGAAAAACCAAGAACACACTCTAATAAATGCCATTGACGGCCCGGTCGAATGGGTGCCAATGCCTTCCCTGAGGATCGCTGGTACTCTGCCTCAATCTCTGCGTAGCACATGTAGAGATATTGACGCATGTATATACCCATAAAGACCTCAAATGTTTGGCACTTGCTTTGTCCACCAAGACCACGCACCGGCAGGTTGCCTTGAGACTCCAGGTACAAATTTTGCTGAAACTCCTCCATGCTGACATCGGAGTGTGCATGAATCGACTCGCCGTGAATGTAATAACCCCACTGGGTCTCGGGAAGAATCATGATGGAGATATTCGACACGGAGCAAAGGTCCACAAATGCCTGCAATGGATGCACACAAAAAAAGCGGTAGTAAATCTGAAACTCAAGGATGTTTAACACAAGAGAAACAGAAACCCAAAAGAACGTCCCCAACGCTATTCGCATTACTGTGAGGGAGTAGGTTCCC